CACCCTATAATCGAACACCACGAAGTGGGATAAATAAGACTATAAACAGCCTTAGTAGAGGGCAGGTCAAGTTTTCCACCAAAGGAATTACCAAAATGCTTTTTCGGGGCTTTTCAGATGTTTCGAATTGTGACCAGAGATCATGGGCTCCCCTCACAGGGTTGTTTTGTGGCTCGAATGAGATATGTGTGTGAAAATGAAGCAGAAAGGATAACCACCTAGGGTGAAGAGGTCCTGCTCTTCTTGACTGGGAATGGAATTTTTCTTTTTCAGCCATTGTGTGTGTGAGCAGTTTATAAAGGACACTCTCTGATAGGTTTTCAGAAGCCATTTTTCCACAGATGGAAAGGAATAACCTAGCTTAAAGAGTGCGTCTGGACCATCTGTGAGTACTGTGCTCCTTTAAAAAATCATCTACATGAGGTCAACATTTACTCAAAAGCAAAAACGAGAAGGCAAGGGGGCAGGGAAACTAGATTACTGGAAATGAAACAGCCAGAATGGAAATAATGAGAAAGTTGACACACTGTGAAAAATGTAACCAATGTCACTGAACAAATGGTACGTTGTTGTTAGGTGTCGTCGAGTCAGGTCCGACTCATAGCAACCCTATGTACAACAGAACGAAACGCTGCCCGGTCCTGCACCACCCTCACCACCGTGGTTATGCTTGAGCCCATTATTGCAGCCACTGTGTCAATCCATCTTGTTGAGGGTCTTCCTCTTTTTCACTGACCCTCTACTTTACCAAGCATGATGTCTTTCTCCAGGGACTGGTCCCTCCTGATAACATGTCCAAAGTATGTAACACATAGTCTTGCCATCCTCTCTTCTAAGGAACATTTTGGTTGTACTTCTTCCAAGACAGATTTGTTTGTTCTTTTCGCAGTCCATGGTAGATTTAATATTCTTCGCCAGCACCACAATTCAAAGGTGTCAATTTTTCTTTGGTCTTCCAACAAATTGTGTAGAAATTGTTAAACAGGAAACTAATTTGTGTGTAAACTTTCACTGAAAACACAATAAAATATTTTAACAACAATAATAATAAAGAATGCATCTGAGTGCAGTTGGGGACATTGGAATGATCAAGGGCAATTTCCCTAACTTCCTCTTCATCTTGATTTCTCTCCCTCTTTCTGGTCTGGAAGGTCCCTGGGTGGCGCAAATGTTTTGTGCTGGGCTGCTAGCCAAAAGGTTGGTGCTAAAACCCATCCAGAGGCACCACAGAAGAAAGGCCTGGTGACCTGCTTCCATAAAGATTACAGCCAAGAAAACCCTATGGAGCTCAGTTCTAATCTGTAACACATGGCGTGACCATGTGTTGGAATCGGCTCAACAGCAGTGGGTTTGGTTTTGTTTTGGTTTAGGGGCTGGGACTGGGCTCAGCTTGGGGATGCTGGAACTCGCAGTGATGGGGACCCTCACAATGGAATCACTTCTAAACTGTCATCCTCCCTGCTAGGCTGTGAGCTCTAGGAGACAAGAGCTAGGTCTGTCTTGGTCACTGCTGGGTCTCCACTGCCCAGCACAGCTCCTGGTGCTTGCCCAGGGTGGGCACTTGATGCATTTTTTGCTGACTTGAATTGAAATTGGTATCTTATGTCCCTTCTTGTGCAGAAGGCAAAGCTGGCATTCTCTCAGCTTCCATTGTTCTCAGTTTCAGGCAAACCTGCTCCTCCCTCAGGGTCATTCTGCCTGACTGCCCTCTGTCGCTGCTCACTTCACCACCCCTCCACCTCCCGCTGTCTCCTTGGATGAGGAATTGGGTCACTGGCTCACAGCCTTCTTCATTCTACACCCTTTTTACTTGTTGTTAGTCGCTATCAGTTTGGCTCCAACTCACGGCCACCTTGTGTATAAAAGAATGAGATGTTGCCCAGTCCTGCACCATCTTCATGATCGTTGGTATGTTTGAGTCCATTGCTGCAACTATTGTGGCAATCCATCTTATTGAGAGTTTCCCTTGTTTTCATTGGCCCTCTACTTTACCAAATACGTTGTCCTTCTCCAGTGATCGGTCTGTCTTGATGACATGTTCAAAGTGAGTCAAAGTCTCGCCATCCTCGCAGGAACATTCTGGTTGTATTTCGTCTAAGACTGATTTATTTGTTCTTTTGGGAGTCCATGGTATATTCAATATTCTTCACCAACACCACAGTTCAAATGCATGAAGAAGAACGGATGCGTTCTCACTTCTTGTCGTGTGCTGTCAAGTCGATTCCGACTCATAGTAACCCTATAGGGCAGAGTAGAACTACCGCATACGATTTCCTAGGCTGAAATCTTTATGGGAGCAGATCGCCAGGTCTTTTCTCCGGCAGAGTGACTGGTAGGTTTGAGCTGCCGACCTTTTGGTTAGCAGTCGAGTGCTTTAACTAGTGTGCCACCAGGGCTCTTTCTTCTTACTCATAGGTGACTTTAATATTTGTGTGGACAACCAAATAACAACCCAGCCTCACCAGGAACTATTGCTCCTCTAAAATGTTAAACCCTAGTATCTTAAACCCCTGACTACAATATCAGTTCCTCTTTCCTATTATCCTGACTTCAAATTTCCTTGAGACCTGATCCTTTTGACCTCTCTTTTTTGACCCAATCAACTACCCACCTATCTAGGCTGGATACCATGATTTATCACTTCAACCACCCTCCTGCCAGTACTTCCAACATTCTGACCCGTTGTTCTTCTACCTTATACACTCTACAAATCCCTAATATCTGCCTTTTCCATTCCAAGACTGAGGCTTTTAGGTAGTGCTGGAGACAGACTCCAAAAATGTACAGATTGGAGCTCTTTCCAGGGTATGATCTCCAACTTCGGCTGGGCCTTCAGCTCAGCTTGACACACAGTTTTTGAGTTCCTGGTCTCTTTCCTTACTCATTCCTCACAATGGCTTTTCCAAATCTTCTCAAGGCTCCAAACCTACCCTTGCCCTCCTACCTCAGAAGATGGCCTTACCTCTTAGGTGACAAAGAAAGTTTACCTGCTTGCCCCCATGTCTACAACTCACCTATGTCCTCACCCACCTTTACCTCCTTCCCCACCACCGTAAAGGCAGTGGTGAGCCTTCTGTTTTTTCACTCATTTGTGCCTTTGGTCCTTCCCTTCACGTTTCCTCTGGGATCTTATTTTCCTTTTTCTCCTGTATTTCTTCTCCCTCCTTTTCTAGTGATTCCTTCCCTAAAAGCTATAAGCACTCACAAAGTCTTTTCCATCTCAAAATAACATCCTTTCTTAACTCTGTGTCCGTTCTGGCCATCTTCCTATCCCTCTTCGGTTCATGGCTGCACTCCTGTGAAAGAGTTTCGCCTTCACTTTTCCACCTCTTGAGCGTCTTTCAGTCAGTTCTACCCCCACCCCTCCTCACCCTGACTGTGGCTCCTCTGGCCGAGGTCCCCAGTGACCTCCCAATGACAATGGATTAACTCACTTCACTTCCCATTGTACGTGTGCCCTACCTGCCATCCGACACCTCAGACTGTTCGTTTCTAAAGACCTCTTCTCCCCTCACTTCCCAGACATTCCTAAATCAAACCCGTTGCTGTTGAGTTGATTCTGACTCACAGCGACACTCTATGAGAGGTATGAGTCAGACATTCGTACTCTTTTATTTCTCTAATAGTTTCTCCTCTACTTCCTTTGTAGTCTCTGCTCCCTCTCCCTAATTCTTAGTATGTGTGGGTGTTTTCAAGGGTTGTGTCCTTGGTCTTCTCTTCTTATGCTATGTACACTCCCCAGGAAAGCTCAACTCTGACTTTCTACTGACAACTCTAATTTCATACTTCTCCTGGGGTTTTGGACCGGGTTACCCAGCTAGCTACTGGGCATCTCCACCAGGATGTCCCAAAAAAAATTCATGCTCATCAAATCCAGATTCAACTCGTCTTCCCCAGCCCTCCCAAACTCATTCCTCCTCCTTTTTTCCTGTAGGACTCAATTTCACCGCCACCTCCACTGACCTGGGAGCCACCTTCTATTCCCTTCTCTTCTGCATGCCCTTATCTAATCCTTCACCGAGTCAATCTGGAATCTCTAGCCTCTTCTCCATTCCTAAGTTACTGCCTTAGCTGTAATAGCATCCCAAGAGATCCGCCTGCCTCTAGCTAGGTTTGCACCAATTCAATTCAGTCTTGAGGTGCAACTAGAGCCTTATCTGATTATGTTCCTCCCTGCTTAAAGCCCTTCCACGGACAGAGGAAATTAATCTATAATAGCAGAAAGCAGATCAGTGATTGACTAGTGAAGGAGGGAAGTGAATATAAAGAAGCAGGAAGGAACTTTTTTTTGGAAGGAGATGAAATGTTCTATATCTTGAGTGTGGCATTGGTAATATACATATATATACATATGCATTTGTCAAAATGCATCAAACTGCATCCCTAAAATGTGTGCATTTATTGTATATAAAATATACCGAAATAAACTTGATTAAAGCAAGAAACCCTTCAATGGCACCGCATTGCTGGAGGACAAAGTTCAAATTTCTTAGCATGGCATAAGTGATGATACGGCTTCTGCCTTGCATTTACGCTTCCTCCATCCCCTAAACCAAAGGCCGACCTATAAGTGATCATTCTTCCTTTGTGCTCCACTGACCCGACGTAAATGTCTGTCATATAAAGTTTTTGGTTGCATTCCTGTATTTATGTCTCCTCCCTCCTTCACTAGGCTGTGTGTGTGACGGCCGTACCCTGTCGTCTCTATTCTTGCATCTCCAGCGCCTATCACAGAGCCGTTCAATCTTTGTTGAAGGAACTGGGCTTTATCGTCTGTCCCAGAGGATAGCGGGACAGACGCCGCTCCTCCAGTCCTAACGAGGGCGCTGTGCTAGCTACCCTGCTCTCGGCTTCTCTGGGCCAGCTCCTAGAGCCCGTCGCTCCGGGCTCCGCCCCCACCCTGGCAACATTCTTTCTGCCCATTGGGCGAGGGTGCTCAGGGCTGCCCAATGGAGTGAGGCGTTGGTGGTAGGTGGCACAACCATCTTTGGGTGGCCGGAACTTCTGAGTGGACCGGTGGAGGCGTGGGGTAGGTGGGCTGAGCCGGTTGCACTTCTCCGCCTCCAGTCCCCCGGCCTTGCCTCCCTCTCCCTTTCTACCCTGGGCCAGGATGCCGCAGTTCCAGACCTGGGAGGAGTTCAGCCGCGCAGCCGAGAAACTCTACCTCGCCGACCCTATGAAGGTAAATCGCGGGCAGGGAGCTGGTGGTGACAGCCCGGGTCGAATGTTGTCCCTCCGTCCCCTCAGCTTCTCTGAGCATCCTTAGCACCCTAGGAAGTTATGGGAGTGAGTGGAGACATACGCCGCTGAAGTCTGATTGATCCTGTTGTTTCTTGTCCCTTTCACCCCGATCCAGCGTCGAAGGGACGAAAGTCAGGGACGTTTCAGGGCCCTGAACAGGTCTACTTTCTGCCTCCTTCCGTCCCCAATCCCTGAATTCCCTTTTGGGTTTGGTTGGTTTACGTGTCTCTAAGGCCAGGGCTCCTCCCCCTGCAGCTTCGGCCACCAGTTTGGGGCTCTTCCCGTGAAAACGGTGGTGATGTTTTTTGCACCGCTCAGATATTTTTGCAAGGCCCCTATTTGGAGTTCCATGGCTTTTTGAAAATATAAGAATGTATATACCCTTTTTTTCAGAAAAATGCACATATGTAAATGTTTGTAAACAATTTTAGGGGGCTCATTGATGCCTGAAATCCACTCATGGGCCCCACAAAATCTATGAGAAGATGATGCTAGAGGTGAGCTCAGTGTTAAGCAAAGAAGTCCAGTTGATGGGAGTTTAGCATTGAGGTCCTTTGATTTTTCTTCTCGTGAGTTTTTACTTTATTGTCATCTATAAAAAAAATTTGAGGCAATTCCTTGTTAATTAAAAGTACTTTTTTTTTTTTTTTTTACAGTCAGCCTTTTTAGAGAGATTTTATACTGGGAATCCTGGTTATATATGATATCCTTGTATTTTCTGACTACAGTAACTTAGTCTTGTCCCTTCTGCTCCATTTACTCACTGTCATTAGGTTCTGTGGGAGAACAAAGGTAAGATTCAGCCCCAACCCTCAAGGAGCTGGTATCATTGGAGGGTATTATAGATATACTGTGTTGTGAATGTACCGCTCAGAAAAGAAAAACTTTAAAAGCAGTTAAATGAGGGCTCAGGATATGATGTACTATGTGAGGTTGTTAGTGATCATTAAATAAAATGAAGTCTGTTTTAAATGCAGACATCAGTGGGCTGCTAACCTGTAACTCTGATACTACACACTGTTTATAGTGAGTATCACTTTTAACTGTGCAGCAAAGTATGGTGATGTATTGAATAAAAATAGCATTAGACACATTGTAAGAGCTAGAGTAACAAGAAGCTGTAACATTTTCAGGTCCATTCTTTGCAATAAATTGATAAATGATGAAGTGAATTAGATATTTTTGAAATCGAGTAGTTTGTTCATGATTCTGGCCCATAATTTACGGCTCCTCCATTTGGTTGACTTCCCTTGTTCGTACGGCCATTTGTTTTCCTCACCCAAGCAGTGTACCACGAGGACCATATAGGATTCCTGTCTTGAAGTATCCACCCTGTAAACTAAAAATATTTGAAAAGACAATAAAGAATATATGAATTCACATCAAGAATAATTGTATTTTAGGGTGTGTTGGTAGTGGGAGGGGAAATGAAAATAAAATGGTAATAGTAGAGCATTGCCGTGAACAAAGCGTGTCTGTAATACGCAGGAGAGGCAGAGCCTTTTAGCTCTTTACCCAATCAGAAAATTCTAGTGGCTTAAAAACTTCTGCATCCTCTTGATAAAAATCCACTGGATTTTTACTCTGATCTTTTGGTGCTGAGGGGAGAGGATGAGTGTGTGTATAGGGAGTTGAGTAACAGTTTTATTGAGTGCCATCTGTGTGACAGGCATTTTACATATATTGTCTTTATATTAACAGTTACAGTAATTTGTTGATGTAGAAGTTAGCTCCTTTTGCAGATGAATAAACTGTTTTAGATAGATTAAATAATTTGCCTAGTCTCTAAGATATTAAGCTAAAATTTGAACCCGGGTCTCTAAACCTCAAGACCGTGCTATTTTTACCAATCCATGCTGCCAGCAGAGCTAAAGAAGAAATGACTTTCTGTCAGAACTCTTTGAAATCTGTTTTCCAAATTCTCTCTTGCTCTCTCCCCATCACCTTTTCCTATTCTCATTTGCATTGCTCTAACTGCAGATGCTACTGCTGTAGGACCATTATAAGGACCCCTTAATTGGCCTGTCTGTCTTTTATCCCTTCTCCATACTCCCACCAGAACTGTCTAAAAAACAGAAATTGAATTCGCTCAGTCTCCCGCTCAAAAACTCGTTCTTCATTGATTACTGGATAAAGTCTCAGTCCAGTTGGGCTCTCATTTTTCTGGCTTTGTCTCCCACCATTTTCACAGAACCTCACCTCTATCCTCATGAAACTACAGAATTCATCTTATCTTTGTTCAGACTGCTTTGTCAGCCTTTCTCCTTCGACCTTCTTCCCTAAAGGAGGGGGGGAAGCATCTTCAGAGGCAACTCCATGAAGCCTTTTTACACACAGTAAACATTTGTTTTCTCTTTTAGCATTTTACCTGTATATGTCTTTATAGGACTTTCATTCTGTCTTGTGTTTCGGTTATTTTGATTGGTTGAATTCAAAGGACTAAGGTGCACCTGACCCAAAGCATGATATTTTCATTCGCCTCATATGCATATAAAAGCTGGAAAATAAGTAAGGGAGACCGAAGAAGAATTGATACCTTTGAATTATGGTGTTGGCTAAGAAGATTGAATATACCATGGACTGCCTGAAGAACGAACAGATCTGTCTTGGAAGAAGTACAGCCAGAATGTTGTTTAGAAGCAAGGATGCAAGACTTCATCTCACGTACTTTGGACATGTTATCAGGAGGGACCAGTCCCTGGAGAAGGACATCATGCTTGGTAAAGTAGTGGGTCAGCGAAAAAGAGGAAGACCCTCAATGAAATGGATTGACACAGTGGCTGCAATGGTGGGCTCAAACACGGCAACGACTGTGAGGATGGCACGGGACTGGGTAGTGTTTCGTTCTCTCATCCATAGGGTCTCTATGAGTCGGAAGCCACTCAGTGGCACCTAATCAACCTACCAACCAAGAGGGCAAGAACCTTGATTTCTTTTTCCTTCTCTGTGGTACCTGACACAGTAACAAGTGTGACTTGTTACAAAGTGGACCTCTTGTAGCATCGTAGACCTTTTAACTGTTCTCACTTCTCTTGAAGCCAGTGAGTCTTCTTCTGAAAGTTGAAACTTTACATAGTTGTCCTGCTTAGCACCTTTTAAGTTTCAGTTTCTTTTTATTTCTGGGGATAATTGGTTGTTGTTATTTATATCTGTTTGAATGCTTGATGAGTTCCCTTTCCTTCCTGACCAAGACTAGTGACATTTTTCTGCAATTCCAGGAGAACAAGGAGCATAATGGGAAAAACTGAGTTATAGCTGTATTAGCCCTTGTTATTTAGTTTCCAGAATTGTCTGAAGGCTTCTGGTACTACATTGTAACCGTTTTTAAATTATGTTCCTGCTTTGGCTTGGCTTTGTAGATTAGCAATTTGTAAAACGGCTAAATATGAGCTACTTATATTGGTTAGCAGAAAACTCACTCTACTGCAATATACTATGCTTGAATCCATCATTAAAAGACAAAAAAATTTCCACAGAAGTTGGAAACTTTATTGCACTATTTCTTCTTTTATAGGATTATGTTGTTAGATGCCATCAAGTCGGTTCCGACTCATAGTGGCCCTGTCAACAACAGAACAAAACACTGTCCAGTCCTGCACCATCCTCACAATCATTGTTATTTGAGCCTATTGTTGCAGCCACTATGTCAGTCTATCTTGTTGAGGGCCCCCCTTTTTTTCGCTGACCCTCTACTTTACCAAGCATGATGTCCTTCTCCAGGGACTGGTCCCTCCTGATAACATGTCCAAAGTATGTGAGACAAAGTCTCGCCATCTTCACTTCTAAGGATCACTCTGGCTGTACTTCTTCCAAGACAGATTCGTTCGTTCTTCTGGTAGTCCATGGTATAGTCAATATTCTTCGCCGGCACCATAATTCAAAGGCATGAATTTTTCTTTGGTCTTCCTTATTCATTGCCCAGCTTTTGCATGCTTGTGAGGTGATTGAAAATACTGTGACTTGGGTCATGAGCGCTGGTGGTGCAGTGGTTAAGCTCTCAGCTGCCAGCCAAAAGGTCAGCAGTTCAAACCCACCAGTCGTTTCTCTGGAGAAGGATGTAGCAGTCTTCTTCCTTAAAGATTACAGGCTTGGAAACCCTATAGGGCAGTTCTGCTCTGTCCTTTCGGGTGACTGTGAGTCAGAGTCGACTTAACAGCAAAGAGTTTATAGGATTATGTTGGTATCTAAATGATGTCTTGGCTGCCTAACTGTAGAATACTAAACAACAAAGAAGTGTTATGTAGCATGACAGTATAGGTGTTATTCTAGTTTTTGGAAAAGTTGTTGATGGAGGTTTCTTTTCGATACAGAATTCTGTTTTTATATGATAATGCATTAGGTCGTGCTCCTATAAGGTCGCTGTGAGTCGCAATCGATTCCACAGCAACAGGTTTTTGGTTTTTGCGTGATTTTTCTGATACTTTAGTCTGAATCCACCCCTCAGGGCTTCGTCGCAGGGAAAGTATGAACTATGACTGCAGCACTGTTTCCTCAGGGATGGATCTGGACCTTTTAATTAGCCATTTAAGATTTAAAAAAGAAATTGTAGCAATAGGGATGAACTAAAATGCTGTTTTCTGCTTCATTACAGTAATGATAAGCTTACAGTAAAGGTACCTTTAGATGGTTATTAATTCTGAAGGGATCCTTTTTAGCCCATCTGAAGACTAAATTACTTATGAGAAATGTCATCTGTCTTCACTGTTTCTAAATATGTATTTTTATTTCAGGCACGTGTGGTTCTCAAATATAGGCATACTGATGGGAGTCTGTGTATGAAAGTAACAGATGATTTAGTTGTAAGTATACATTTTTATTGCATACTTTCATATTACTTTGAGCTACCAGCAATCATTTATTTGAAATTATTTAAATAGAATTTATGCAGATTATCCCTTAGGATGCTTATTTTGCATTTCATTCCAAAGTTGAGAGCTTTCATTCTAGAAGCTACTTCTATAGTCTCTCGAAAACTAATTTAACTTGCTTCATTAATGAAGTATGTCAAGTCTAGCCTAATAATTGCTTTTTTCAGACCTTGAGCAAGAGGATTATAGAGACCAAAACTAGATATAAGGGGGTAGAGGTTTCATTATTGGCATGTGAGAAGTAAGTGGTGGAATTTGAACACAGGTTCTAGGCTTTATAGGCGTCTGTCTCCTTTCCTGATCTGCCCGCTCTTATCACTTCCTCACATCCAATTAATTCCGTAACCTTCTGCCATCTGGTTTCTACATGCAGTATTTCGCTGAAATTGCTCTTGGTGAGGTAGCAGCCCCTTAGTTTTCAAACACAGTGGTCTCAGCAGTTCAGCTCTTACTTGACCTCCTTGTCGCCTTTGGTACAGAAAACCACTCTGTGATGAAATGATTACTCCAGCACCTATGGCTCCGTTTTATTTTGGTTTTCTTTTTCTGTTTCCGTTGTCTTGTTTGCTGTTTCTCTGATGTGTCCCCATAAATGTTGCTTTCCGCAGGATTCTGTCCTTGGTCATCTTTTCATACCACTTCCTCTTTTGGAGCAATCCATTCACAGTCATTGAGTTCACTGACTGCTTGTATCTATGTCTTTATCTGTATTTCCAAATATGTATGTTTAGCTCGTATTTTTCTTCTGAGTTCCTAAGCATTCTTACCTCACATACCCCTTATAATTAACCTGTCCAGAATAGAGCTCTTCTCAGACTGGCTCCTTGTGCTTCCTAGCTCAATTGTACTATCGTGCAGCTAGAACCTGGGAGTTCCCTTTGATCCCTTTCTTTCCCTCATTCTCATGTCCACTATTTCTTCATTTGACAAACTCGTATTGATTTCCTGCTGTGTACCATATACTTTGTTGGGCATTTGGAATTAGTGATTCAAGTTCCTTCATCTCTTGTTTCCTGTCATGTCCTTTCCCTCCTCACTGTCCCTCTCGAGTTTAGGATCTCATCATTTGCCTGGATTATTCGAATAGGCTCCTAATAAATGTTCCTGCTTCCACTTCATCCTTTAGTCCATCCTATACTGCTGCCAGAATAATTCCTAAAAATGCAAATTTGATTGTTACTGCCCTGCTTAAAAGTCTTTAGTGACTGCTCATTACCCATTACGTGAATGCTGCCCTTACATCCCTCTAATCCCCTTTCTGCATTACTTAAGAGCTCCTTTAGTATGCCCTGCCATCTCAGGTCTCTGTGCTTTTGAACATTCTGTGTCCTCCTTTGGGTTGTTGAATCCCACTGTGGCTCTCACCCCCACTGTGGCAAGACTGCTGCTGATCTTTCAAAACTCAGCTCAAGAGGATTGCTTCTTCTTTTGCTTTTCTTTTTGTCTCTTTTTGTGCTGTATCACAATTGTTTTTTCACGTTTGTCTTTTCTAATAGACTGCAAGCTTTAAGACAACAGAGATCAGTAATAGACTTAACTTGTATTTCTAATGCCTAGCATGATGTCTTGACCTAGAAGGTACTTAGGAAACTTTTTTTTCTCCTTCATTCATTTTCTATTCTTTCAGTGAAAACATTCTTTTTTTTTTAAATTGGGCTTTAGGTGAAAATTTACAGCTCAGGTTTCTTAAACAAAAATTTATACACACATTTTTATGTGACCCTATTTGTTATCCCTATAATGTGACAGCACACTCCTCCCTTCCACTCTGGATTTCCCGTGTCCATTCTACCAGCTCCTGTCCTTCTCTGCCTTCTCATCTTACCTCTGGACAGGAGCTGCCCATTTAGTCTTGTGTATCTACTTGAACTAAGAAGCACAGTCTTCATGAGTATCATTTTATGTCTTATAGTCTAGTCTAATCTTTGTCTGAAGAGATGGCTTCGGGAACGGAGGAAACATTTTTTTAATGGATTAATTATTTTAAACATTTTGTAATGTGTGATTTTAAAAATTGCTTTTGTCCTTGATTGTATATTATACTATATGTGTGTTCAAGGTTCCATTGTGGGATTGCATGAAGTCATATCTTTTAATGATTACCATGTTTTTCAAGAACTAGTTGAATTGGTGAAGTAGCTGGAAATATGAAAAAGGAGGAGTAAATTGAGGTGTTGTGTGTTAAACTTAGATTGAAGAGATTTGAATCCTTGCTTAGCCATTTACTAGCATTTTGACCTTGGAAAAAAGTAACCTTCTGGGTCTCAATTTTCCTGTTGTAAAGTACCATAGTGATAGCACCAGCTACTTACCTTGTTGGGTTGTTGTGGGAAATAAACAAAATATGTGAAAGCACCTAGTATGAGTACCTGCCACTTAGTTGATTTTAATTAATGTATTCTTGAATCATGAGCATTCACGATTTTAGAAGAATTTTAATGGTGTCACAGAGTGGATAGGTATATCAGAGAAACTGATACATCCTGTTTTAAAAGTAGGGGAAAATGTAGAATTGGTTTTTATATGGAAGGCTTTATTTCCAAATAATGGCTGTTTTACCCCCATCGTACCATACATGGAGCCCTGGTGGCGCAGTGATTAAGCAATTCGGCTGCTAACCAAAAGGTTGGCAGGTTGAGTCCATTAGCCATTCCTTGGAAACCCTATGGGGCAGTTCTACTCTGTCCTATCGGGTCGCTATGAGTCGGAATCGACTCGACGACAATGGGTTTGGTGTTTGTTTTCTTACCCAAAGTAATGATTAAATATAGTTAAGAATCCATGGTAGGCAATATCAGAAAGAACTGTATTTAACATTGTTGAGTCGTATGACAAGATCTAAATATGCAAAATACTTTTTGTTCCCTTCCTTAAAATTACTGAGAAACTAGTCCATGTCTAGAAGGGACCAAAGATGCAGTCAAATCCATCCTTCTAAACAGAAAACATAAATCAGCCCCAACAGTAGAAATCTGTTTTCTAATGGATCTTGTAAAGAAAAGTTTGTACACTTCTGTCACTAACTTATTTTAATAGCTAATAATTTCTTCAGAAAACTCAGTCTTAGACTTCATTCATTATTACCACCATGTTGCTTTGACTTTTTTTATAATCCCATTTATGCATAATTTTTTCTGATCCCATGGCTGATTTAGAATTCTGTCCTCTATGGACCTAAAATCTTTCTCTGTCATAAACTGTAGTGAGACGGTATATACATTCTCTCACAGCACGTGAACTAAAATTTGAATGATCATGATTATTATGGCCTCTTTACAAGACTGCCACACGTGTTTGTACATTGTGTGGATAAAAACAAGATAAAGTGAATGCTTTAAAGGCTAAGTGAATTCATATCAGCTGGACATGATTAAGTTGAACTCTAAATTACTTAAATTGATAAATATTATTGCAGGAATGAACCCTCAACATGGGCTAAAGAAAAATGAACCTATATTTCAAAATGAGGAAAAAGGCTGCCAGCTTAAATTTGATGTTTTAAAGATTCTAGAACAAATGATTTTATGATCAGCCGTAAACAGATCTTAAGTATATATTTAATGAAGAAATTGACTTAGAGCGAGGAAGAATTTGGTTAACTATTAGGGACTTTTAACAACCTAGGTTTAAAAGTGATAAATACATTCAGAAAATCAAGGTTTGACAGATTTATCTGGTTATAATTTAGGGTGTTGACCAGCAGCTATAAGCAGGGGATTCTAGATCTTTTATTTATTATTATTATTATCATTATCAAATCCCCAGTTTCACAAATAGTAGATCTTAAAATTTCTATGCTTTTCCTAATATATGTCTTCTCATCTACTGCAGGATTTTAGACATTACTTAACTGGTCATTTTTGAGAAGGTTCTGATAAAGTTCATTCAGTTTTTCATCCACAGCAATGGCATTTAAAATGCTGTATTTAAGGAGTGTAGTTGCTAGAGGTTTGGAAACTTGAATACCCTTTCTTTAGTATGGTCTCCAGAGAGAATACAGCAAAACAGTGGTAGGAAAGGCTTTAAAAATTTTCCCCAACTATGCTTTCTACGTTGTCGATTCCTAGTTTCACATAATTAATGTGTACTTTAAAACTTTTTGACAGTGTTTGGTGTATAGAACAGACCAAGCTCAAGATGTAAAGAAGATTGAAAAATTCCACAGTCAACTAATGAGACTTATGGTAGCCAAGGAATCCCGCAGTGTTGCCATGGAAACAGACTGAATGGTTTGAAATGAAGACTGTCTTGTTTTAGGAAGTAAATATCTTTTGAATTTGGGAAAGTTTTGGGACAGAAAATACTTTATGTAACTGAGTGGGTTATTCAAGATCTGATCAGTATCTGAGAGATCTTTTTTGTACTTGGTTTTTTAATGTTTAGAGAGCAAGAGAGCCTTTATTTATTTTTTGGAAATTGAGCAAGATAGGCAGCTAAGAAAGTTTTTGCGAATTATATTATGTTAGGCAAAATATATAATTATATCTCTGGTAAATTGGTATCAATAATTTGAAAATGAGGTATCAGGAGAAGCCAGTTGTTCCTTAAATTTAATCTATCTTTAAAAGAAAATTACATGTTAACATTTTGCTGGATTGACATTTCTTTTGGAGCATAAAAATTTGTGCTATTAATGACCAACAAATATAAAATAGTCACTGGAATTAACTATGCACATAGTATATCTAATTATGTATAGTAGTATAATCTCAATTATATCTAAAAGTACTTTTGAGTGACAGGTATGCTTTACCTTAAACTTTCCAGATTTAGACTATATTTTTGAATGTAAGGGATTTGTATTGTGATTGCTTGTTGAACTATGACTTACTCTGAATCCATTTCTCAGTGATCAAAAACAACCGTAGTTACTTTGAATGGTTAAGCTGAATGATGATCTCTAATGGACTGAAATCACCATATTACAGGAATATTTACTGTGTATTTCCTATCTATAGTTTCTCAGAAGGGCTAAGGATTATTTGAATTGTTAAATCTTTGCATACCTCCATGACACCCCTCCCCATTTTTTCTCATGGTGTTAAGCATGACTTACAAATGTTATGTTTTCCAGTAAACCAGAGTGTGGTATTATTTGATATTTATTTTATATTTGTAACCTGAATTTTACCACCTAAATGTAATTTTCACATGTTGATTCTTCAAGAGTGAAATGAAGGGACTAATTAAAATATTTTTTGTTAGAAATTTGTCATGTTGAGCGACACTTTCATATGGAAAGTTCCATTATCAGTATGAATTTCGGCATGTTTCAAAGAGGTCAGCAAATAAAATATTACTCAAATATATATTCTGTTGAAGTTTTTAACTTCTCAAGAGTTAATGATTTCTTGACTGGGACATACTGTATTCATTTAGTCTGAAGTGAGCCTAATGTTACTGAAAAAAAATGTCTTCTTGGATTTTTATTTCTCAGCACTTATACTATATGATTTTTTTCTGAGCTGTATGTTGACAGCAAAGTTGTTTTCTTGAATAAGGGAAGTAGCATCCAATTGTGTAGTGTAGTTTTAATAGGGTCACTGAGGTTCTTTTTGGCCTTTTTCTCATTTACATCTTTCACTTTTTTTTTTTTTTTTTTTACATCTACTTTTTAACACTACTGTATAAAGATGATCTGGAAGAGTAAGGACTGCTCAGTTTGGTATTGTATTCTTTGAGTCATTGTACCTCATAGCAGAGTGGTTAAGAACAGAAGTTCCAAGTCAGATTACCTGTGCTGGAATCCTGGTTGCATTACTTCCTAATTCTGGGATCTTAGACAACGTGCTTCTCTACCCCACCATTTACTTCACTGAAACCAGGGTAAAAATAATACCTTCCTCATAAGACTGTTAGGAAGATTACATTATATAATTCATTTTAAACTCTTAGCACAGTGCCTGGAATATAATAAGACTGAATAAATGATAGCAATGGTTATTACTATTATTATTTCAGGGGAAAGGGTAACCAACTCTTTAGGTTTTCTCATAATTTTTAATTAAGTAATTATAGGTAATATCTGCCTTTTCTGCTGAGCAGTGTCTATTATTAAATGCCCTCTTTGGTAGTTGAGAAGCAAGACAAGATTGCCCCATGGAAGCTAAAATTCTTAAATATAAAACTTGTATTTATTTGTGTCTGCACAAAATAAAGTTATTAAATAAGAGGACTAGTTACCTAAATTGTAACTAGTACGTAAAAAAAAAAACTTGTTGCCATCAGGTCGATTCCAGCTCATGGCAACTCCATGTGTTATAGAGTAGAACTGCTCCATAGGGTTTTCTTGGCTGTAATCTTTATGGAAGTAGATTGTCAGGCCTTTCTTCTGTGGCACCTCTGGGGGATGGGTTTGAACCGCCAAACTTTAGCTTAGTAATCAAGTGTAAACTGTTTGTGCCACCTAGGGTCCCTAACTAGTACGTTAAGTAATTCAAAATATCAAGTAATCCACAATTACTTGGCATAGGAACATCTCAGTTTATGTGGGAAAAGACAGTCGACAGACACTAGCACTGAAAATATCACCAAAGATGGAATTAACTGGCAAAAGACACTAAAGCAGCTATTATAAAAATGCTCCAGCAGTTCATCATGAGTATAGTTGAAACCAATGGAAAAAACATCTTAGCAAAGAAACAAAATATATAAAGAAGAGCCAAATGGAAATTTTAGACCTGAAAAACACACAATAACCAAAATTAAAAACTCTGTGAATTGTCTCTAGCAAAATGGAAATGATAGAGGTAAGAGTCAATGAATAGAATTTATTTAATCTGAACAAATGGAGAAAAAAAGACTGGGTGGAAAATGAGCAGAGCTTCAAATGGAGACCCAGGAGAAGAGAAAGTGCTGAAAAAATATTTGAAGAAATAATGAGTAAAAACTTCCAGAATTTAGTGAAAAACAACTAGAGATTCAAGAAGTTTAGTTAATCCTAAACAGGAGAAACCCAAGGAAATCCACTCCCAGACACATTATAGCGAAACTATTGAAAACTAAAGACAGCAATCTTGATAGAAACATGTTAATGTGCCATCTAGTCAATTCCAAATTATAATGACCCCGTAGTGACCTATAGGACACAGTAGAACTGCCGCATAGGGTTTCCAAGTCTGTAATCTTTATGGAAGCAGACTGTCACATCTTTCTCCCTTGGGGTGGCCGGTGGATTCAAGCCACTGACTTACCAGCAGCCAAGTGTTCAACCACTACGCCACCAGGGCTCCTTAACATAACATTACCTAAAGAGAAACTGATTTGAATGACTGGATTCTTCATCAGAAACCATGGAGGCCAGAGGAAATGGCACAACATTTTTAAAATGCTGAAAGAAAAGAATTGCCAACCCAGAATTCTATATTCAGTGAAAATATCCTTCAGGAATGAAAGCCATTCTTAGATGAAGGAAAATGGAAATTTATTACCAGCAGACCTAGTCTAAAAGAAGTAGTAAAAGAAGTTCTTCAGACAGAAAAGAAATGAAAGCATGGGGAAAATTGAAACATTCAGGAAAGAAGAAAAAGCAACAGAAATGGTAATTATCTGAGTAAAAAATAATGAGTTCTCTAAAATGTTTGATGACTGAAATAAATGATAACATTGTCTGATGGCATTTCCCATGTATGTACGTGTAATAACATAAAGAAGGAAGATAAAGGGACCTAAATCAGGGTAAGTTTTCTATGCTTCACTCAGAGTGGTAAAATACTGATTCTAACTAAGGTGAAAAGCTAAAGTATGTATATTCTAATCCCTAGATCAACTAAGAGAACTGTGCAAAGAAATATAGTCAAAAACACAACAGATAAAATACTAAAAATTGTTTAATTATGGGGGGGCAAGAGAAGGAAAAGAGAAACAAATAAAAAACAGGAAACAAACACAAAACAAATAATAAAACGGTAGAACTCTGCAAATCTATATCAATGAATACGTTAAGTGCAAATGGTCTTAGCGCACAAATTGTCAGAATGGATTAAAAAACAGTGAACCAACTGTATGCTCTGTACAAGAAACACTTCAAATGTAACAATATAGGTAGGTTAAAAAAAGGATAGAGAAAAAGATGTACCATGCAAACACTAATCAAGAAAAAGCTAGCATGACTATACTAATATCAGACAAAGTAGACTTCAGAGCCAAGAAAACTTCCAGGGATAAAGAGGAACAGAATATAATGATAAAAGGGTCGATTCAACCAGAGGACATAACAATCCTAAATGTGATTGCACTTAACAAATGGAGCTTTAAAATACTTGAAGCCAAAACTGACAGACCTGAAAAGAGAAACACATCCACAACTATAGCTGAAGACCTCAATGCTCTCAGCAGATTGAACTAGTAAGTAGAAAATTACCAAGGATATAGAAGAACTGAATGACACTACCAACCAAGTGAACCTAGCTGATATTTATAGAACACTCCAACAGAATACTCATTCTCTTAAAGTGCATGTGGAATATTCACTAACATTGAACATCATACTGGAAATCCTAGCTGGTGCATTAAGGCAAGAAAAGGAAATATAAGGCATCCAAATTGGAAAGGAAGAAGTAACTGTATTTGCAGACAATGTGATTGTCTATATGGAGAATTGTACGGAATTTACCATATTTTTGTATATAGTATGTGCTACCTCCTCAAAGTCGACCTTGATGTGGATGGAGTCAAGTTTTCGGGACCTTCATTTGCTGACATAGTATGACTCAAAATGAGAAGAAACAGCTGCAAACATCCACTACATACAGGAATGGAATGTGTGAAGTATGAATCTAGGAAAATTGGAGGTTGTCGAAAATGAAATGGAACTCATAAAGATAGATATCCTAGGCTGAAATGGACTGGTATTGGCAATTTTGAATCAGACAATCATATGGTCTGCTATATCAGGAATGACAAATTGAAAAGGAATGGCATTGAATTCATCGTCAAAAAGAACATTTCAATATCTATCCTGAAGTACAATGCTGTCAGTGATAGGATAACATCTATACCCCGACAAGGAAGACCAGTTAATACAACTGTTACTCAAATTTAAGGACCAACCACTAATGCCAAAGATGAAGAAATTGAAAATTTTTACTAACTTCTGCAGTCTGAAATTGATCAAATATGCAATCAAGATGCATTGATAATTATTGGTGATTGGAATGGGAAAGTTGGAAACAAAGAAGAGGATCCGTAGTTGGAAACTATGGCCTTGGTGACAGAAATGACAGCAGAGATTGCCGATAGAATTTTGCAAGACCAACAACCTACTCATTGCAGCACATACCTGTTTTCGACAACATAAAGAGTGACTATACCTGTGGACCTTGCCAGATAGAATACACAGGAATCAAATTGGAAGCTATCGAACGATATCATTCATATCACACAAACAGGCAAAATTTTGCTGAAGATCATTCAAAAGTGGTTGTAGGAGTACATTGACAGGAAACTGCCAGAAGTTTAAGCCAGATTCAGAAGAGGACGTGGAACCAGAGATATCATTGCTGATGTCAGATGCATCCTGGCTGAAAGCAGAGAGTACCACAAAGATGTTTACCTGTGTTTTATTGACTATGCAAAGGCATTAGACTGTGTGGATCATAACAAATTATGAAGAACATTGCAAAGAATGGGAATTCCGGAACACTTAATTGTGCTCTTGAGGAACCTGTATATCGGTCAAGGGGCAGTTGTTTGAACAGGACACGGGGATACTTCGTGGTTTAAAGTCAGGAAAGGTGTGCGTCAGGGTTGTATCCTTTCACCATACTTATTCAGTCTGTATGCTGAGCAAATAATTTGAGAAGTTGGACTATATGAAGAAGAATGGGACATCAGGATTGGAGGAAGACTCACTAACAACTTGCGACATGCAGACGATACAACCTTGCTTGCTGAGAGTGAAGAGGACTTGAAGCGCTTGCTGATGGAGATGAAACACTACAGCCTTCAGTACAGATTACACCTCGACATAAAGAAAACGAAAATCCTCACAGCTGGACCAATAAGCAACATCATGATAAATGGAGAAAAGATTGAAGTGGTCAAAGATTTCATTTTACTTGGATCCACAATCAACACCCATGGAAACAGCAGTCAAGAAATCAAACGATGTATTGCATTGGGCAAATCTGCTGCAAAAGACCTCTTTAAAGTGTTAAAAAGCAAAGATGTCACTTCGAGGTGTACCTAACCCAAGCCATGGTATTTTCAAGTGTCTCATATGCATGCGAAAGCTGGACAATGAATAAGGAAGACAGAAGAATTGATGCATTTGAATCATGGTTTTGGCGAAGAATATTGAATATACCATGGACTGCCAAAAGAACGAACAAATCTGTCTTGGAAGAAGTACAGCCAGAATGCTCCTTAGAAGTGAGGATTTGTCTCATGTCCTTTGGACATGTTATCAGAAGGGACAAGTCCCTGGAGAAGGACATCATGCTTGGTAAAGTAGAGGATCAGCAAAAAAGAGGAAGACCCTCAATGAGATGGATTGACATAGTGGCTGCAACAATGGGCTCAAACATAACAATTGTGAGATGGCGCAGGACCAGGCAGTGTTTCGTTCTGCTGTAGACAGGGTTGC